GAACCTGCAGAGGAGAGTTTAAAACGGTGCAAACACGTCGGCGTCCAAATGATTAAAATTCTTCAGCGACGTTTGTGAGATCAGCGAACGTGAGAGGAAGTGAAGCCTCGTGGTGGCGTTCAGACTTTAAGCCAAAGTGTTCTCTGCAGGATCAACGTCAGCTGGTCCTGAAGATATAAACTCACTGCACAGACGTTGCTGCAATGCAAAGCGGTGAGCGCACAGCTTGTATAATATCTCCACCGCAGGTAGAAGCGTCTCCTTCAGGCGGTGGAGAGAGAGGGTCCGGAGGTCGGGGAGGCCGAAGTGTTCACAACAGTTTTCTTTGTAACCACACGCCTCGTCCATAACCTTTACCAGACACTGGACAGGAAATAAGGTGGAGCCGCGGCGGTTCTCCACCTTATTTCCTGTGCTGAGCAGGTGACAGGTGGGTCACAGCTGATGGACAGTTAGCCTACCAGTAGCACACTACATAAACAGACGGATGAGCTGCACCGGAGAAGGGACGAAACTCATGTTTCCACCGCTGCCGATAAATAGTCATCAGGATCGGAGCCGTTCACACTCAGGACAGAAGCCGGATGTTGGCAGGTGTTGAAAGGAGCCTCAGACAAAAGGGAACATTTCTGATTCATCACTAAAGACACTGAACTTCTATTCAGAGTTCAATTCTGCCAGTGATCGGATGACTTGGACACCAGCGGGGGCGATTTTAGACCCTGAAGCACCCCCCCAAAAAAATACAATAATTTATTATTATTTTCTGGAAGTTGTTTTGTCCTCTAACGTTAGATTTTAACAGTTTCATTTGACTTTTCTTACATTAAACGGATTAAATGTCCCTAAACACGGTCAGCTGTTGGTGTGTCTGTCAGTCTGGGCCGAACCGATACTTTCAACATTGAGGGGGGGCGGGGGGCGAGAGGCCCCTCCCAACTTGGACACATCCTTGTTTTTGCTGAAATCCGATTGGCTCAACGGCGCCGATCAAAGGAGTTTACTTTCCATCTGGGGCGAGTTCAGTCCAAAACCTTTTGCACCGTTTGTATGAGTTCTGTCGGGGCTGAACAGACAGAACCTCGCCCTCGTTCTCCAAGGTTGGTTGACAGCTGACTTGAATAACATCAGCACATTCACGCCAAGGATGGCGCGTTCAGTAACTCAGTACCGCAGCGTTACTTTGGAAACAGAATCCGTTTCACTACTAGTTACTGGGAAAATGAGTAAATGTAAATAGAGTTCCTGCCCAACACTGCCAGGCTATGAAGTTAGTTTTAGTTTAATGCTGAAATATCATAATAGAACTAATTTGTACTACAGATTTAGTGCAACCAAAATAACCATAAAGATTTTTCTAATTAAATAATATTGACAAATTTAAACAGGAGCCCACAGCTGCACACTGACCCTGAATGGTCCCCATGGGGGTCATTTACACAGGGGGGCGCTGGGGACATGAAACCCACCACATTTTGAAATGGCTGATTTTGAAAGCATTTGTTAAAAACATTCTGAAAAACAGCACCAGGAAATGTTAAGAAATGAAAAGGCTGATTTGCACAATAAGAAAAGCTGCGATGCAGTTTAGTTTCCCTTCATATAAAAACAGACATTTCCACCGTAAACTGGAGCAGAAAATGTCTCCAGAATGCAGGAAATTACCAGTTTAATGCTCAGGATCTTCTGGCGGAGGCCCCCCCTCCCAAATATATTCGCATCAAGTGTTGAATCTAAATAGTGCTAAAACTCTTCTTGTTCTGGTGCATCGTCACGTCTCGTTAGGGGCTGAGCAACCCTAAAGGTCTGATCCTAGAATCGCCCCTGGACACAGGACTCGAAACATTTATACATCCTTATCTGTAAACAGAAGTGGACTCTAAGCACATTTACCAAAATACTGTACTTAAGTGCAAGTTTAAGGTACTTGTACTTTACTCGAGTATTTTCTCCTCCTGCTCCGTCTCAGAGGGAGATGTTGGACTTTTTACTTCACCACATTTATCTGACAGCTTCACTTACTTTACAAAGTCAGATTTTTACACATGAAGAGTTTATAAAAGATGTTTAGTTATAAATTAAACTCCAACAGTTTATACAGATACAGCTGGAACTATTAGATTAACAGAAAATGACCTTTTTCATGTAAAAACACTTCATGTGAAGATTTGCTGCTTTTCCTTTTGATTATTTTAACGTGTTTTTGATCAGTTTGAGGTTTGGACTGACAGAACAAACACTGTGAAGGAGTCTCTCTGGGACAACATTTCTCACCATTTACAGAAGAGTTACAATCAATTAATGAAGAAAATAATCAGCTGATTGATCCAGAAAGAAATTAACTGCAAATAGCAGTAAAATCCTGCTTTACATTATTGCATGAGGAAAAACTATCTAATATGTAATTGTATCACAGTCACAGGACATTTTCCTGATTAGACTAATTTTTTCTGATTAACATTTTCAATGCAGTACTTTTACTTGTATTTTTACAGTGAGGTATTAGTACTTAAAGGGTCTGAATACTTCATCTGCTGCTGCCTGTAATAGTAAATATTGTTACTGTAAACAGCTAGTTTACCAAACTTTACTTTCTCAGACTTTGGTTACGGCCTTGTGGGCAGTTTTGCTCTAGAATTCTTTGTCGGTAACACCTGACAACAAGGTGTTGTGTGGTTTCCATGAGCAGGCGTAAAGGATCTGATTCAGCGTCAACTACAGACATGATGTCAGACAGTAACCCCCCCCCCCCCCCCCCGGTCAGTCCTACATAAAGGAAACTTTCTGCATTATCACCTGTAGCGTCCATTTTAAAAACAAACGTCCTGCACGCTGTCAGAGGCGTGAACCAACACCGTGTCCAGTGAGCGAGCTGCTTGTGACCTTTATGTTTACAAGTCTCAGTGGGCTGGTGATGAATCAGTGCGAACAAACTTTCAGAGATCCAGCTGGAGGGTCACGGCTCTCTGTAAATAAAAAAAGGACAGCATCCTCGTCTGGACCGCTGCGTCTTCCTCTTTGTGTTCTGCTGCCCGGGTTTGACAGGGTGAGGGTGTTCAGTGCCGCCCCCCCCTCCTCCTCCTCCCCCCGTGGAGCTGCAGTACAGCGGGGGGAGGCGGGCGGCTGCAGTAATTAGCATGCTGATTCTGCATGTAATCAGATCGCCCTGGTCTGCTCGCCGGCCTGCTTCTATACATCAGGCCGAGCGTCGGCGTGGGACTGCAGCAGCTTCTGATTGTCTTCAACGCAGCATATGCTAATTGTTGATTGTCTCCAATATTATATGCTAATTGTTAGGAATTAGCATAATTCATTAACATTTGGGCCCTAATTACACAATGAAGGAAAAAAAGGCTGAAAAACACTGGGCTGTGCTCTGACTTCCTAATGTGTGATGCGATTAATGCCGCGCTCATTTGCATCCGGAGAAGGAGCCTGAAATATTAAAAGTGTTGTTCAGAGAAAATCGTGATGAGTCCCTAATCAAATGTTGTTTCTGCCGTTTTAAAGAAGGTGTAACGGTGTCGGCCCTCAGGTGAGAGGAAGCAGTCTTTCCTCACTCGCAGAAAAACACACCGATCCTCCCCGACATGCAAATGAGCCGCGGATCCAAATCTGCAATTAGCTGCAGAGCTGCTTTGAGGAGATTTAGAGAAACAAATGAATGTGGATCGTCTTCAGCGTTTCGAGTCGTCGTTGTGGATTCTGTTTGATGTCTGCGGTTTATCTCGTATTAATGAGACGCTCAAACAAAAAGAAACAACCAAATTGCTTTGATTTCATCATAATTGTAGTCGCGGGCCTGTTCACATCGTTTAGCTGCCGGCGGCGGGGAAACATACACAAACACTTCACCGACATACGAGTGGAGAAACCACGACAGAGAAACGCTGTGCTGCGAGGACGAGGCTGAGATTAAAGAAATGGTCACGGGAGACTTTAGTCTGACTGACAGGTGACAAAGTCCAGATCAGGTGAGGGAAGGAAGGAAGGAAGGAAGGAAGGAAGGAAGGAAGGAGGAATAGAGGGAAGGTTGAAAAGACGGTTTAGGAAATAAAGAAAGAAGGTGAGTGAGGGAATGAAACTAGGATGTAGGGAAGGAAAGAAGGGAGGATAGTACAGAGGAAATAAACAAGAGCAGTTTAAGGAGGAAGGAAACATCAGGAAGTCTGAGCCAAAACAAAAGATCACGTGACAACAGTTAAACCCTGCAGCTTTTCCTGCACGGACGTTCATCAGTCCAAAGAATTAGTTAGAAAGTTTGTGTGCTTTCAACAGTAAAGGCAGCTCTGTACTGTCCTGTCTTTGCGTCTGATTGAGTTCAAGGCGTCAGTTTACTAATCCTTTATTCTTTATCCTCACTCAGTGAAACAAAACTATATTTAATATATTGACAAAATACAGTGAAACCCGGGCAAAATACCGGTCAGCTCCTCGCTTCTCTGAGCTTCAGAACATCAACAGGACACTTTCTATAACTACTAACTGCTAATTTCAAGTTCCCTTCAGAACAACTTCCTGTTTACACGGCCGGCCTGGCAACGTGAGGAGGATAAAACCTGGAATTTTAAAAACACGAGGGGGAAAAATCATGTCGGGCAGTAAAAAGCATTTCCTTCTGAAATGTGGTGGGGAATATGTGAGTACAGTAACTGGATGAAACCGACCGTCGCCGTGTGATTTGCAGAAATCCGACCTCGCCATGTGTCACGTCGACCTCCGTGTGTCGGTTTGTGACAAACACCAGGACTCGCCGGCCGACACATGACGGATGCCAGTCTGTCTGACGGCGGGGTGAAGCTCCAAGTTCAGGTTTCTCCTGTTAACAGCGGCGGGGGCCAGACGAGGCCGGGCTCTCAGGGCCACACACCAGGGGACGGGGAGGAGGGGAGGGCCCCTGCATGTGAACGTGGAGGGCGGGTTAACTCGGAGGTAATTGAAGCGGGGCTTTTGTAAGAATCTGCTTCCAATCCACAGGAGAGGGAGCAAAGAGAGGAAGAATGAGAGTTTTAATGAATGGAGGCCGTCATTAGAATGATAACTATTTCCTCCGAGATCACTTCCAATTTAAATGTGGGGGGAAAAGAGAAAAGGCGTAATTGAAAGATATTTTTTTCCCTTCTTCTGCCATTCAAACTGTAAATTTGAATCTTGGGGAGAAGAGGGAGATTGTTTGTAGCTATAGCTCACTACGTCCAATTACTCCTCTTTCTGCTGCACTTAAAGCCGTGAGGGAGCGCCGAGCCTCGTTTGTTTTAACCCCATCTGCCAAAAAAACAGACCAGCGGCCATGTTTGCTTTGGATCAGCAGCGGTCAAAGGGAACAGATCCGTATCAAACCGTTTTAAAATAGATTGAAACAGACGTGAAGAACGATTTAGCTGATAAACAACGAGGCGGACGGGATTTTTGCAGAACGTCTCGGAGCAGCTGCACATCTCAGGTCCTGTCGGTAATTCATCCAGCTCGGAGAACATCGGCAGGACGTGCAGGTGTGGGTGGAGGAGGTTCGTATCTGCAGCAGGTCACACGGTCTTCTTTCAGCTTTTAGTTCAAACCTTGTGCCACAGTTCCTGCCGCATCGCCACAGCAACGCCGTTTGCTGAAACAAAAAAAAAGCTTTGTAATTTAGCATCACAAAGGTCTTCAGATTTCACTGTCTAAATTTTAAGTTGATGCGATTGATTCACTAAGAGGCGTTTTTGAAAGTACAGAGTTAGCGAAAATGTTCCCAAAAATTGCCTATTTAATTAAAAATGGCTGACTTCCTGTTGGGTTTAGGGTACAGCTCCGAGAAACCTTTTTTTTTTTTTTTTAAAGTGCAGGGTTGATACATCTGCCTCCCAAATTTCGTACATCAAGGTGAAACATAAAACGAGGGCTGCTTCGTTGAAGTTTTGTAGGGGGCGCTATCGAGCCTTTTTCAACAGCTCTGCCACCGAACCATCAGACAGCAGGAACCTCCGGGTCTGAAAAGTGAAGCCTGTTGGTTGCCTTAAGCCTACAGCTTAACACCCTCACAAGTCTCGTTATATAAAAACATTTCCATCATAAATTGATGCAGAAATGTTTCCAGAATGCAGGAAATTAAGTGTTTAATGCTCATATTTCAGCTCAGAATATTTCTTCAGAATTGTGTTGTACAAATATTTTGTCGTGCTTTCAGTACAATGTATATAATTTTATTTATGGATGGAGCCATAAAGAATCATAAAAACCCAACATATCAAATATCTACACAAGAAAAACTGAAATATTCACATGTGCAAGAATTCAAACTAAATCTAAACTGAGAACCAAATCCCTGATGATTTCTTCTGCCTCGTCTGAACTTGTATTTTACTGGTCTGATCGTCTGCACCCGTCTGTCCTCGTTCACCTGATGCGTTCCACCTGTGAGACTTGTTCCAGGATCCTTGGTTTCTGTCGTCAGGTGTTTCGATCGTTTCCTGGAAATTCCTGTCTCCTTTTGGATTACTGTTTTGCAGCGGTGGACAAAGTACAGATATACTTGTTTTATGTCACTGAAAGTAGAAGTATTAAATTCAAATTTCTACTTCAAAGTACAAAAGTACCTGCTTTTAAAAATACAGCAGTGAAACTTTCCTGTTTATTAAACAATGGCATTCATTAGGAACAGGTTGGCCTTGAAAACGTTCCTAAACTAAAAATATGTGAATAGAATCAATGTTACAATGTTAGAATCAATGTTTTCATGATTCTTGCTCATCATTAGAGTAAAGCAGGGTTTTACTGCTGTAGTTGAAGGGGAGCTCATTTTAACTAATTATTTTCATCACGGATCAATCTGCTGAGTATTTTCTCCGTTAATAGTGAGAAATGACTCCTTCATAATGTTTTGTCTAACCAACAGCACAAAATCCAACATTACTACAATTAAAATAAGAAAAGCAGAGAATCTTCACGTGAAATGTTTTTACATGAAATATCTTAAAACCATCAGAGCTGTTGCCCGTTAATTTCACCGTCAGTCTAATGATCCTGTCAGCTGTATGAACTGTTGGAGTTTAATTTATAACTAAACATCATATTTTATAAACTCTTCATGTGTTTGTGTGTAAACAAAAATACATAAATAAAATGGAGTGAAGTAAAAAGTACAACATCTTCCTCTGAGGTGGAGCAGAAGGAGGAAGCGTCATGGAAAGAAAATACTCAATTAAAGTACAAATACCTCAAATGAATTACTGTTTTGTAACTCGCGTTCTTTGGACTATTTCTGGTTCTCTGGAGTTTATTTATAGACTTCCTGCCTCTTTTTTCCCCCCTTTAAGTTCCTCACACTCGGTACCTGCTCGGCATTCTGGGCCCAAATCCCCGTTCCCGTGTTCGCTTGGTGCTTTTTTAGAAACAAATGAACAGAAGAACCACACCGAGCGATCCCGCCCTCCACAGCTCGGAGTGTTTTTACCTCGCACAGTTCATGAGTGCGCTAATTGAAAACCATTATGGGCCACATTATCATACTGTCACACTGCAGGGACGCAGCGCTCGCTCCGCAGTCTGAACCAAACCCAGAGACCTGCACCGAGTCCAGAATCACTGTTTACAACAACATGTTCAAACAGCTGTCAGAGAGCAAGCGGTTACAGTACATTACATCTGAGCGCTCCGGCAGTCCGAGGCCGACACGCATACAGAAACATTGCATAAGACAGTATTTACAGAAACAGGACGTCCAAGAATGCGTCAAATGAAATGATGCAAGCTCAATATTCCTCACACAATCCAGAGCCGGGGCGTCGGCGTGTTTATCAAAGAAATGACTGATCATAATATCAGCCTTATTGGTCTCAACAGAAATGCCACAACCATCTTGCAGATTACTCCTTGATGAGGAAAATGCAATTAAAACGTCAAGTGCGTTTTATTAGATTCTACCCACCCTGCAGGGTTTTAGCAGCCCCGGGAGTCCCTGGATGCTCGGGCGATGGATGGCATATATAGAGCTGCGAGCAACATTAGGAGAGCCGTGCCAAAATAACAGCCGCTCGCTCCCCGATGATCGGCCTTTCATCACCACACAGTGCTGAATACGTACATGCAGGTCGGCTGCATATGGATGCTTTACGGTCTCACACAGACTCCTATAGACGGAGGCGTTTCATTATCTGCACTGTGGAAGGACCCCGAGTTATGTTGAATGTGTAAACCTGCAGGCTGGAAACAGAAACTGGAGAAGCTCTTTGTTTCCAGTGAAAACAGTCTTTTGTCTTTTTATTCAAACACTAAACGCCGTCACTGAGGAATTCAGAAGGCTGCAGCACGTGTTAACAAATTATTAAATAAAGGTCACATACTTTCCTGTGCACTGGGAAGTATGTCAACTGGAATACTGTGCAGATACTTTCCAAGAAGCGAATGACCGCAGCTCATTTTAAACTGCTGTTCGACTCGTTTTACAGTTTGTTTCATTGCTGACGTGCATTGATCAGCCACACTAAATGCATTCAATGACCTCTTTGTGGACAGGGATTGCTTTGTGTTGGTCACACTAAATTTAATTTGAGAGGAATGAAGAGTTTGAGGAGAGATTAACTGGATGCGTGTTGGTGATGCAGACTGTTGGAAGAGTTTTGAGTTTCTCTTGTTCGGCTGCAGCACTGCTTTATTTCTTCTTACAGTTCATTCACTTTCTATACAGAACCTCAAAAATCCCCACAAACAACAACAACACGTGAACTACTTTCTGTGATGCGTCACGTCTGATATCAATGTTCAAATGTATTTATTAGGATAAACCCCCTGAGATGCACCATCTCGTTTGAGGGGGCCATAAAATACATCACAAGAGAACAGTGACAATATAAAGTACAGTTATACATTTGTCAATGCACACACACACACACACACACACACACACACACACACACACACACACACACACACACACCCAACAGGAAAAACAACCCAATAATTAGAGAAATAAAGAACCACTAGATGGTCAAACTGGCCAATAATAATACATATGAAATTGGATGTACGTGGATCACAATAAAAATTTATTTTAGTATAGGATATACACAATGTGTCAGCATCGTTCATCACATGAGCAGTCAGTCAATCTATCAATCATTTATTATTTGTCCCAAATGGGCAATTTGTGCTGCAGCAGGCATATTAACACAACAGAAATATAGAGGAAAATAACAGAAAACCACACACACACACACACACACACACACACACACACACACACACCAATGCAACGTTGGTCGTCCTGGCTAAAAACAAAAGGCATTGACAACTATGAAATATATGTACGGCCGTCACACCACTGACATTCTGCACTACAACAGTTATCCCACACTACGATGTATTTTACCCAACACAAGATATAACCCTGCAGATAAAAAAATACCACAGACAGGATATAATACATCTCAGCTCCAAAAGAAAACACAACGATACAGTAATTGCCCCGGTCTCTTGTTGGCTTGGTCATCGTCGACCATCCCCTCAACATCAGTAAGGTGGCGACCTCCTGCTATTTGCAGCTGAGCCTTGGGTGGAGACGGGGATGAACGAGTCCTTTACCTGTTTTTGCTGCCGATAGGGGCTTTTTAGCGCAGGACAGATGGTAGTCGAGTAAACTCCGAGTTACGAGGATGGGCACTAAGCACACGCTTAATGAATATACGGTTCAGACTGCTGAACTGAAGTCTTTAGTGATCCTAGCCAGGGCATTTTTATCTTTGATACCAAGGTTACCAGACCAGCAGATGATGGACTCTGTAGGATAGTGACATTAGAGTCTTGTCAGTCTGAAATGTAGCGAGTTTCCTTGCATAGCAAACCAGTGTTTAGGTCAAATTTCAGGCGATAGGAAACCGTTTTGCAGCAGCAGTCAGATGAAACTACATGGAGATTTATCTCAGTATTATCTGTGTGAACGGATCAACAGCCCGTGTGCAGATGTGCAAATATAAAAACGCCTTCCACAGATACTTTAGCAGAGAAAAATAAAACGACATGAGTCCAAGTACGATAAGTAATCAAATCATTTTGAATTTGTCTTTAGGTTTTATTTGTATTTCGTTTTGACTTTGTTTTCTAGTTCAGCTTAGTGTGAATTAGTTTTTAAAGCAGGTTTGCTAGTTTAGCTTTTATTAGTTTCAGTCTTTGGGATTCTTTCTCCTGACTCTTGTTGCCATGACGTCAAGCGAGGGGGCGTGGTCTAAAAACTGTCTCAGCAAAGAAACAGACAGATTTTTATATCCACCCAAAATACTAAAGATCTTTACTCCGTTTATTTTATTTATTTGGGTAACAAGTGTTTTTTCCACACCTAGTTTCCGTTATTGATAAGAACCTTTCTTGAGAACACAGCTTTGTTGGCCTGTAGGCCATCTGGAGGTCTGATCTCTGGACCTTGGTGTCCTCAGAGCAGGTGACTCACTGAGCCTTAAACGCTTAGAGGCACAGATTGTTGATCTGTACAACAGATATTAGTGACTTCTATATAAAATTCACCTCTTTTCATCCTCTTAACATTTTTATACAACTTTAAAAAAAGTTTGTGCACTTTATTTTGTTTGTTTATCTTGTCAGTTTCAGATTTGTTTAACTCATTGTTGTTAT